TTAGCACATGTGGGTTGAAATTCCAATTGTGCTGTGACCATGTGGCCCTCAGCAGCCCCCTGGTCTGCACTGGAAGGAGGGCTGCAGCGGCCTCTGGAGAACATCTGTGTGATACATGTAGAACTCTTGAAAACTGACTCCACAATAATAGAAGGTGTTGCTGCTCTTTCTGGCATCTTCTTGGGGTGAGGCCTGTTGCTGGTTGCACAGAGTGTGCTGTGGTCAGCATTCTGGGAGCCCTAGGAAGGGCCTTGCCTCACGTTCCCGCAGCCCAGCAAGGCAGGTACTTGGGATCTCCGTGTCCAGGAGAGGGGCTGTGGCTTAGGCTGAGTGACTCATCCAGACCCAATGGCTGGTGTGAGAGTCTAGAGCCCCGTCCTGCTGTTCCCTGCAGTGTGGCTGTTAAGCCAGGTGTGGCCTGTGCAGCCACCGTTGTTGCTCTGTGGGGACAGTTAGAGGGAAGCCCTGGGTGGCTGGTGAGAACTTTGGCGGGGGCAGGGGTAGCGTTGGCATGCAGTCACCTGCCGTGTCGTATTGTGCCTCCAGGAAAGCAGAAGGAAAGGCCACCTCCACCACTGAGCTGCCTGCGGAATACCTGACCAGCCCCCTGTCCCAGCAGTCCCAGGTACCCACCCCCCACTGTCCCATGGGCACCTCTTTCCTGGAACCTACCTTACCCAGCCCTGTCTGTCCTCAGCTGCCCCCCAAGAGGGATGAGACAGCTCTGCAGGAGGAAGAGGAGCTGCAGCTGGCCCTGGCACTGTCGCAGTCAGAGGCTGAGGAGAAGGAGAGGCTGGTGAGCTGGGTGGGGACCAGGCCTTGAGAAGGGGAAATTTCAGGGTTCTGGGGGTGCACACAGGTGTTTGTGGTGGGGCCACAGTGTGTGGAGGCTCCACTGTTCATCCAGTGCCTCGTGCTCCCCTGAATGGCACTCCCTTCCCGGTTCTGCTTCAGCGACAGAAGTCAACGTACACTGTGTACCCCAAGGCAGAGCCTGTACCTGTGGCCTCATCAGCGCCCCCCGCCAGCAGCCTGTACTCTTCACCTGTGGTGAGCCCACCCTCCGGCTCAGCCAGACTGGCTTGGACCACTGCCCACGCGGGATGGGAGGGCGAGTGGGAGGATGCCTCACCTCAGGATGCCCGGGGAGGACAGCTCCTGACCACATGGGCAGGTGTCAGGGAGCCACCTGGTGGCTCCAGACACCCACGGCTCTGCTTTCCTGGTCCAGAGCACCCCTGTAGGGAATGGGGATGCTGAGAAAGGTCCCCTGCTGGCAAGACCCCATCTCTTTCACAGACTCATTTTCTAGGGGATCCCCTTCAGCCCTTCTCTTTAGATAGGGGTGAAGGTGCAGCCTGCTTCATGAGGCAGGGTCAGGGGCAGAAGGTTTAGAAAGTCACAGGCAAGCTCCGTAGGATTCTGTGGAGTGGCCAGGCCATAGGCACACCCAGGGGCTGAGAATAGCCCGGCCACCAGCGTGCCCAGTTAAGCCCCTTTCCTTCCTGGGCCCCATGATCAGGGCTGCATGAGGGCTGGTGGGATGACCATGCTCTGGCCCCGGAGCCAGCACCCATCCTGCGAGCTGCTGTTGATGTGAGGGCCTCGTGGTATGTGGTGGTGTCATGGGCCTTCCTAGAATATTAGAACCGTGTCATCTCAAAGAGAAGGAAGAATGTTCACTTATACAACACAGTGCAGGACAGTGTGTGGTGTGAGCCAGGGACCCAGGCAGGAGGCTGAGGCTTAGGCTGAGGCTGTGGCCAGCCTCCAGGACCCACCGTCACTGTGGCACCATCTGGGTTCCTGTTGAGTGGCTGCTTGGGGGCTCCATTGCTGCTCCTGTGATCCTCTCAGATCCCCCCTTATCTCCCCAGAACTCGTCAGCACCTCTGGCTGAGGACATTGACCCTGAGGTAAGGGCACCAGCGTGTGGCGCGGTCATCTTGCTGCCCCTGGTCCTCAGAAGTGACCTCCCCTGTTGCTGTGCAGCTGGCTCGGTACCTGAACCGGAACTACTGGGAGAAGAAGCAGGAGGAGGCCCGGAAGAGCCCCACACCATCGGCTCCCATACCTCTAACGGAGCCAACCACCCAGCCCGGGGAGGGGCATGTTGCTCCAGCCAGCGTGGTGGAGGTAAGGGGGTCGTGCTCAGTGCTGCTGGTCTGTGGTCCCTTGGGAGGGGTGGATATGGGACAGGCTGGAGACCCCACTCACACGCTGTTCTCTTCCAGACTCCCCTCCCGGAGACAGACTCTCAGCCCATAGCTCCGTCCGGAGGCCTCTTTAGTGAGGTAAGCTGTGGCTCCCTCCACAGCCAGGAGAAAGCACAGCCTCCCTGCATACAGAGCACTGGGCACGTGACACAGGTGCCTTTCCTAACGAGAGGGCTGTGCCAGAGGGAGGAAGTCCACCCAGGCCCTGGCCCTGCTATACGCATCGTGGCCTCTCATGATAGAACCTGCCTGGGCTGGGCTATGGTCTAGGGGTCAGGCCACTCTTTGTGGACAAACACAGACCCATGTATTCTAGAGCAGCCCAGAACCAGCTGGGTGAGTCTTGGGGCTTCTAGGCTTTGTCAGCCCTCAGCGTTAGAGACCAGGGCCTTGGAGAGGGAGGCAGGCCCCGTGTCACCAGGGCAGAAGGGCCTCGAGCCAGCTCCATCCTGACTAGTGCTCCATTGGTGGATAAGAGTCTAATCTCTGGGGGCCTTGGTTTCCTTGTTTGTGAAATGGGGATGCTAATGGTGCCCATCTCACTGGGCTGACGTGAAGATCAGATCAATTATCCACTCCAGAGTCAGCACAGCCTGGGTGCCTCCTGGGACATGCCTGGCTCTTTCACAGGTGGGGCTGCTGAGGCCCAGCAGAGCAGTCCCTGCCCAGGGAGGATGGTCCCCAGAATGGGGGGCGCTGCGATGCTCAGCCAGGCCCCACCTCGTGTCTCCAGCAGCAGTACCAGAACGGGGAGTCCGAGGAGAGTCACGAGCAGTTCCTGAAGGCCCTGCAGAATGCCGTCACCACCTTCGTCAACCGCATGAAGAGCAACCACATGCGCGGGCGCAGCATCACCAATGACTCGGCCGTGCTCTCGCTCTTCCAGTCCATCAACAGCATGCACCCACAGCTGCTCGAGCTGCTCAACCAGTTGGATGAGCGCAGGCGTAGGTGCCCCGGGCACCCCTGCATTCCTGTGGGCAGTGGTGGCCCTGGCTGCTCCTGGGACATGAGGCCTTCCTTGAGGCCATGGGTTCTGCAAGAGGGTTCAACAGGACGTGGCCCTAATGATGGGCCATGCCCAGCCCAGCCAGAGCCTCGGTGCCAGCAGCACCCTCTGGGCAAGGGCTAGGCGAGGTTTTGCTGACTCCTGAGACCAGCTGAGCACAGGGAGGTCCAGGCGCTGTCCGTGTGTCCATCCCACACCAGGGTTTCCTGGCACTAGGCTGAAGTGGTCAGAGACACTGTCTTCTGCCCACAGTGTACTACGAGGGGCTGCAGGACAAGCTGGCACAGATCCGCGATGCCCGGGGGGCCTTGAGCGCATTGCGTGAGGAGCACCGGGAGAAGTTGCGCAGGGCAGCTGAGGAAGCTGAGCGCCAGCGCCAGATCCAGCTGGCCCAGAAGCTCGAGATCATGCGGCAGAAGAAGCAGGTGCTGTGGGGTTGTCCAGCCCCTGGGCATACAACATGGGGAGGTCCCAGCTGTCCTGACTGCTGCCTGTCACCTGCCACAGGAGTACCTGGAGGTGCAGAGGCAGATGGCCATCCAGCGTCTGCAAGAGCAGGAGAAGGAGCGGCAGATGCGCCTGGAACAGCAGAAGCAGACCGTCCAGATGCGTGCCCAGATGCCTGCCTTTGCGCTGCCCTATGCCCAGGCAGGCCTTCCATCCGTCCTGCCCTACCCTGCCCAGGGGCTTGCCTCACTGGCTGAGGACCGGCTCTCACAGCTGTCTCGTTTGTTCCCCAGCTCCAGGCGATGCCCGCGGCCGGGGGCGTGCTCTATCAGCCGTCAGGCCCAACCAGCTTCCCAGGCACTTTCAGCCCAGCAGGCTCGGTGGAGGGCTCCCCCATGCACGGCGTGTACATGAGCCAGCCGGCCCCAGCCACTGCCAGCCCCTACCCCAGCCTGCCCGGCACTGCAGCAGGTAAGGTGGATGGGGGTCCGGACCAGCTGAGATGAGCCCCAGGCCTATGCATGTAGCGTGTGCACATTGTTTCCAGATTTCACAAAGGAAATAGTTGTCAGATCTTTATTATTTTAGTCTAATTTATAGTAAAGTTACAAATGGTATAAAGGGTTTTCCAGATCCCCCAGATGGAAACATTTTATCGTTTTTGCTTTATTCTCTTTTCATGTACACACACACACACACACACACACACACACACGTTTTCTCTCCCAAACTGTTTTAGAGTAGATGGCAGGCGATGATGCCCTTTACCTGACTGCTGCAGTGAGCCTTCCCACAACCAGGGTGCTCACTCACAGCTGGGAGGTGCCAGGGCCGTGCCGTGACCTCCTCCCCAGCTGGTTTCTGCTCTCAAAGACTGTCTCAGTAAATGCTCTTTGTACCAGCAGGAAGCCTCAGTTGTATGGCATTCCGCTTTCCCACCTCGTTCATCTCCTTTGGTTTTGACCATTCCTCAACTTCCCATAGAGCACCAGCCTGTCCTTGGGCAGACTGTCCTCAGTTGGGGTTTGTCTGGTGTTTCCACTTGATGACATTCAGGGGCAGCACTTTTGGTCAAAATGGCACGAAATGTGCCGCGTTCATGAGGAGGCCTCTGCTATCAGTCTGTTCCATCACTGGCCATGTGGTTGAGGTGGGACCTGCAGGTGTCTGCACTGTATAGTCAGCGTCTTTCCCTTTGTAATTGAGTGTCTTCTGGGAAAGACGTACTCCTCAAACGCTCGCACACTAGCTTTAGCATTTTTTT